TGAACTCAGAAAGTTTTCACCCAGCATAAATCAATAACCTTTCCCCAACACCATGAGCCTTGAATAGTGATGGTCTTTTATGACTGATTTTTCAAACTAAAAACAGAACAGTTTTGCCTGTCATTGAGGGGAGTGGAATAATTTCCTTTTCTTGAACTTTGACATCTTATTTGGATTTATTAATTTTTGTATAATTCGAGTATATTAATGTTCCTTATGGCACCCTGATTCATTGCAAGCTACTGAGATTTACTCCATTATTTTCTTCCTGTGGAATTTAGGATTTACAGGTTCTTCAACCAAGACTACTTCGGCAGTATCAAAACACTGTCATTTAATGTAGTTTATTTTAACCCCATTTAATGCCCTTTTGTAGTCAATGAATTTCACTGAAATGATTACCCTCTCTCTGCTGAACAATATACTTTAATAAGAATATGAATTCAATAATGATTCTCCAAGGGGTTTGGTACGTGGTATTATATTTTAAACCTATGTAATTAATTTATTATTGTAATTGGAGATGACAGATTCAAATATCGAGCTTTCTTTTTGATGTTTACAGTCACTTTGCCTTTCCATCTCCTCTCGGAGAGCTGGAGGAGAATGCCAGGAGCAAGCCGGGGAGAGCAGGACCGGTTCCCGGGCGGCTACTGCCGCCAGGGCCATGGCGCTGTCCCTGGTGCTGCATCCACAGCCCGGGCACCGTGAGCCAAATCACAGAGTCACAGTGTGTGCTACATTGGAAGGGACCCACAAGGATCATAGAGTCAAACCCTTATCCACGCACAGGAACATCCCCAGAGTCACACCATGGGCCCGAGAGCATCATCCAAATGCTTCTTAACTCTGTCAGGCTTGGTGCTGTGACCACTTCCCTGGGGAGGCTGTTTCAAAGCCCAGCCACCCTTTGGGTGAAGAACCTCTTTCTAATATCCAACCTAAACCTGCTCTGATGCAATTTCAGGCCATTCAGTCGGGTCCTGTCATTGTTCACCACAGAGAAGAGATCAGTGTTGACCCCTCTTCTTCCTGTCGTGAGGAAGTTGTAGACTCTGATGAAGTCTCCCCTCAGTCTCCTCTTCTCCAGGCTGAACAGACCAAGTGACTTCAGCCGCTCCTCATACAACTTCCCCTCAGGGCCCATCCCAGGGCTTGTTTGTATTAAGGAGAATTAAATAGAAGAATGACATAGTCAGGAAAAGGATGATTAACTTACAGTCATAGGTCAGACCAAAAAATGACTTAATTACAACAGCCTAGCTATAAGGTTTATAATAAAGGTTAACTGAAAAGTCACAAAGGTTCTGAAGTACTTATAGATATTTTATTTTGAAATAAAAGTGGTTAATATCCTTAATCCATACGTGTAGAAAATGTGGATGAAGTGTTTTGGAAAGAATAGACTAAAACCATCAAGAACTAGTCTTATGTGTATGGCTCTGAAGATACAAGTTATGCCAAGCTTTGAGGAAGGTGAACACTCATTGTAGCTTCTCGTTATCCTCCCTTTTTCTGCTGCTATTTGCACTTTCCTTGTGCATTTACATATATAGTGACTTATAATTTCATATTTAGGTTTTGTAATGTGGGGCTTTTCTCTATTATTTGGCAAATGTACATCTTCTTTGCACATTGTAACTCAATTTTTTTCCCCATCCTATGAATGTAAATAGGCTGTAATTCCCTGAGAATCAGAGAAATTTTGTTGCTAATTTCATGTCATTAAAAGCAGTTTCATTTGGCCTAGTAGTACCAGTATCTGATATGGCTTACCAGTGTCAGCTTCAGGAAGGATTCAAATGTAGTCAATCATCCTTTCTTTCCAACACTGAACTGTCATCAGAAGTATATAAAAAGAAATTAGGTGCATCCTATCAAATGGTACATATAACAAGTACTAAGGAAGTTGGTTTGAGCAATCTCAGAGCAGTTTACTACATTTATTTGAATGAAAGAAGCTAAAAATGAACTTTCAGTTCCTTAGCACAAAGACTTTTAAGATGGTCTAGGTTATAAATTTATTCATCTGCTCTGGGCCAGTGGTTAGTATGCATGCTGTTATGGTAAAGGCCAAGTGACTTGCCCTTCACTGAAGAAATCTTTTATTCAAAACCACCTTTGCTTCAGCATCTTTTCTACAGTAAAAACAGTATCTCACTAAAAACACAAGAGTTTAGCACCCTATTCTAGTGCTCTGTGCTAACTTGTTTTTTGTAGCATGTATTTTCTTTCCTGTTCTTACAAAGTCTTGTTGCTCCATCCTTGACTCCTATCTTCAGTTTTCTCCTTTTACTCTAGGGATCCTTGATCCATAGCCCTGCAGTCACCAGCTTTTTCTCAGTCCCCCTCTGGATTGCTGTCATGTGTTCTTTTTGCTGAGACTTTGCTGCTACCTTTTTGACTTTTGTCCCCAAGATGCTATTACTGTCTTTCAGCCTTTACTCCCTCTGTTGTTGCTGTACCTGTCCATTCATATAAAAATTAAGAGACAGTCCTAGAATCCTTTTTATTTCCTCTGGTAAACAAATCACATGTTTTTATTTAGGATTTCTTCTCTCCTATCTCTTTTCTGTTTTCTCATCTTACTTGATGATTCCAAAACTGATAGCCCCCCTTAAAAGAAATAGAGATAAGAAATAATGGATGGACAGTCACATAAAAGAAAACTATGATGGGAGGTTTTTTTAGTTGTGTAATGTTGCACTTACCCATTGCTATGTGTAATCCAAAACTAGCTCTAAAGAAGAATCAGACTGAGAAACTGGGGAAAGTCGCTGTGTTTACACTGTGAGAAAGAATTTCATCCCTGAAAAGTAAAAAGTTACCAACTTAAATATGAAACTTTATGAATTTAAACCTTTGCTTCTACCTGATTTTTCATACAATGAATGACTTGAATACTGCTGAATAAATTTTTTAAATTTTGTATTATGCAATATGCAAGGGCAAGAATTCCCAGCGCATTTTTGTGAGTGAGGTTCATACTGAAATATGCCAGGATGTAATCAGAATGTTTCAACTTTGAAAGAAGCCCAACAGCAATACTCCCACACAAACTGCCCAAACAAACAGCCCACACCATCCCAGTCCCAACCCAAAAAACCTGACCAGGGTGACATCTAATCTGTTATTGTTGAGATATTACAACATAAAGCCAGTCTCAGTCTGTTAGTCACAGAAGAAAAAAATTGAACAAATACCTGAAGAGCAGATAGAGTGTCTGAACAGAGAAGCAGCTGAATGCAAGGTTGTTTAGCAATTGCATTTTGCTAATGAAGGTAAATTTTAAGGAAAAGTAAGATGGCCTTTGAATTTTATTCAGATTGCTAATACCTGTCAGCTACTCTTAGCACCACAACCATTTCCACAAATGGCTAAGATAATGGTTGGAAAAAACAGTGAATATAAGGTCAAGGGGAGAGTTTTTATTTATATATGTACCCATAGCTTCTTCTTGCTACATGGAGCATGTGTGCCAGACTTTCTATTTATAGCTGGGTCATGAATGTTCAGTATGAGTGGTTCTGTAAATGTAGTGAGATGTTTTTTTGGGGGGTTTTGACTAATTTTTTCTCCTATATGATTTGTTTTCATTCTTTTGCAGTGTCTGGGAATGTATATTTCCATAATACTTTTTACCCACATTCCAAGATGATTTTAGCTCATCTGTAGTTTCATGTATGCTTAATGGTACTAAGAAGTGTATTGTAACTTACTATTTCTTTTGGTTTTGAACTATCTCTTTCAATGCTGGGTTCTCCTCTGTGCTAAGCATCCAGTCCCTCTGTATTAAATCTACAGGAGGATTTTGGAAGCTAAAGCCTAGGAAGTACTATGTACTTGATTCCAAATTTGTAGTCCTCAAAAAATTGCTTCTAACAGTGAATGGGGAATGCCTGCCATTTCATTATTAATATTTCCTAAAGTTATGCCTCTGGCTATTTTTGGCAGTGCTTGATCTTGGCTGAAGATTGCAACATTTACTCGATCCGTAAGCTCTTCCAGGATCCATAAAACTCGGCCATTCTTTGGCAGTGTTCCCTGATATGCTTGATCTGATAAGCGTAGTGACAGCACTCCTTTGCATAAGTGACTCCTTTATTCATTTTCCTGAAGGAAAGGCCATAGGGTGGAAATACAGGCGCAGACAGGAAACAATCCAAAAAATGGCTCCCTACATTTAGAATAGCAATGCTAACTTTCCTTAGTGTTTACTTTTAAGACAAATCAGGTTATATACTCAGGGCTTTTCTTAACCATAAGTCTCAGCTATTGTATGCATCCAGTGTAGATCCCTTACCTGTGTGTACTGTAGTCGAGGAAAAACCCTTCAGCTTTTTTAGGCTTAATTGACTGTTCTCTAGAGAGACTTAGATTTCTGGGTATATGCAGGAACTAGAGGTCATTCCATATAAAACCTTGTAAATAGGAAGCTGTTAACATCTGAGATGTGTGAAAACTGTATCAGTATGGTTGTAAAAACTTTAGGTATTATGACAATAAAGTGCTAAATTAGTAAGTTTTCATAATTTGATGTAGCAAATTGCAGTTATTTTAATAGTATAAGCTCTGAGAAAAAACTACCTTTCTTAAGGGATGTATGCAGTGATCACAAATCTTTATAATTTTTTAAAATTTATTTTTGTTAGAATCTAGAAATATTCTAATTATCAGGCTATTGATATTGTTTTCCCGTTCCTGCCTCCCCCCCCTCAATTTTCTGTCCTTAAAACACTAAGAAAAATGTCTAAGCAAACACTGTCTAAACTTTGTTATTATGAATGTCACAATAATGGATGCTAAACACAATTAAAACAAAATTTGAGTAACTAAGTCTGAAGGTTTAATTGATGGGTGGGTTTTGAATCTAATAACCTTTGAATCTGACAAAGGCAATAATTGTTTGACAGTCTTAAAGTGAGAGAAGTGGTGAAATGAACAAACACCTATGATGAATTCTGCTGAGTATTTAGCCTGTGCCTTTGCTTGGTTTTCAGAACTGTCCATTATGAAGGTGGTGCTGTGTCCATTCATGCTCGTTCCCTTTGGCGACTAGAGACTCTAAGAGTTGCGTAAGTAAAATCCATCTCAGAAAAGAAGTCCATTTGGCAAGACACTTTTTGTATTGTAAGAATGATCCTTTAAAATCAGAATGATAAAGATAATTCCAGACTGGTAAGACTAAAATAAGCTTTAAAAAATGCTCCATGTCACTTTCATTACAATTAAACAACTTCCTATAGAGTTTGTGTGTGTTTTGATTATTTTTTAATATTGTTATAGCTGTCAGTGAATTCATCATTTACTTCTTTAACACATACATGACATAAACAAGACTGTTTAAAAAAAAAATGCTTGTCTAACACCCTTCCCCCCAACTTGCTTAAGCCATTTGGAAGTAAAAAATTTGCAAAAAAATGCTACCATGCATTGTTGGAAGTGTTGGACTGATAGAAAGGAATTGTACCTTGTTTGTTAAGGTAATTGGCAGTGTAAAATTGCACTTAAATCATATTACAATATATGCTTGTGATAGTTTCTAGAGACTAATAAATGATTGATTTTTAGAGATTAAATCAGACCATCTTATGAAAAGGTTACACTCTAATGATGCTGTTTTCAGTGTGTGCATTTTATTATTAGGATGACTTTAAATGTCAGTGATAGGGCAGTGAGATATTTTCCTTTGGACTAAATTAGACTTTGAGACAGTGACAGCAAATGAAACTGTGGGAGGATCTCTGGCTTTTTATTTTCCTCGTGGCATGTACTTCCCTAATAAGCAGTTGTACTGGAGCTATCTGGAGATTCAAGAAACATGTTATGACCATCATATATCTCACTTTAATAGACACTTCATACAAACTTTTGAAAGGTAAAAATTTGAACATATATGACTGAAAGAAGTTGTAAGAACTGTGAAAACAACTATAAGAAAGGCAGTGGTAATCTTTCTTTTTAAGATATTCATACCAGAAAAAAACCCCAAACAAATAAAATCCCCAGAATAATGCTCTTTCCTTCAAGTCCCTCACCAACCTATTTCCTGTATGATATTGTAATAGCTATATACATTCATTGTTGAATTGCAGTCCATTACTACTCATGCAAATGCTTCAATTTGTAGCTTAGTATATGCATGGCTGAAGTTCTCAATTAGTTGTAGTCCTTCCCAGAATGACTGCAGATATTAGTAATATCGTGCTAAAATTATATGAATTTAAAGGAACCATTTTTCCTTAACTCTGTTGATTAGTGGAGAACTCCCATAAAAATTGCCTGGGCAGTCTACCTGTACAGATTACCTGCCATAGGTTCCCAATACTATTACTCAGCACTACTTTCTTTCTCAAAAGGTGGCAGGAATCGTATTCTCACATTGCAGAAAAATGTTTTTTAGCAGTCAGAAATGGCTTCACAAGATACATGTAAAGCCCCTTGAGCAGAAAGTAAGTGCACATGATTGCTATTTTTCTATCCTACAGGGATGAACTAGGGGCGTGGCTCAACTGCACTACTTTTTTCTTTCCTTTTTTTTTTTTTTTTCTTATGATTCATAGCTATTGGGTCCAAGAGAAAATTGAATCAAACAAGAGAAAAGGCAACTCCCCAGCATGATCTGTAATATGAAAGGTGCAGAACTCATGTGTTTTGTCAGACTCAGCAACGCAATAGCTGAGATTCGTGACCTGACATTTTTCTGACTTGAGGAACAAAAGTTAATGCTAGAACACTGGACTCAGATGTGCTTTTGTGGAATATACCAGCTTTGCTGTGCAGAAGACAGAAGCAGGGAAATATGTTTCTAAGATAGAAAGCTTCCATATTTCCATCTTCCCCAGAGCTCCCTCAACTTAAACAGCGGAGACTCTAGTTTAGAAAACAAAGGAGTTGAGGCTGAAAACTTTTCCATTCTTCTGGCCTCTTTAGAATCAATAACTAAAAAGGTTTAGAATTTTAATCACTGAAATGTAATAAATCTTGTTACAAAATAGAAGGATTTTAAAATGTCTGCCAAATTGGTTTTCCATACTTTGCACACAGTATGGCCAACTCTTAAGTCGACACATTTAAACGACTGGTTATTGTTACTGAATAGGCAAGTGCTTTAATCTGCTACATCTATATGTCATGGAAAACAAAAACGACTTAAACCTGCTAAAGTGCTAATTAAGGGATTTGCAGACTTGTACATGAATTTATACAAAACATATGCATAAAAACTTGTAATTTTTTTAAAGCCACAGTAAGCATAGAGAATTTCTAGTATTTGCAAAAGCACCTAAGAACTGTGGCATTATGTCATAATTCTGTTTTGATGGCTATTTTGCAAACACAAAACAAGTGCATAATTTCCTCTCCAAAAAGTAGCATGCCACATACATCTGAAGTACAAACTTCTGAAGATATAAGACTGAAGAAAGTTTTGTGAAGACCCAGGAAAACATTCTAGCTGTGGCATCTTCCAATCTAAGGAATATTTGAGAAGCCTTCTGAAAAGCCTTTGTGAAATACATACTCCTTAGTAACCCCTACGCAAGTTTGTCTTCAGGAATTAATCAGGAAGTACAGAAGGGCTGAATTTTCAGTTTAAGGCAATTAGTCAGAAACCTGTGGTCTGTATTTTAAGTTGAGTAATTGTTGGGGAGCTTAGACAAGCTTTGCCTTTCTTCCTTTATTTCCTCCTATATGAAGAATCTGCACCATTCTTGGCTTGATAAGTTTTCTTATTTATTTTAGGAAGTTTATTTATTTTTTTGTTGTTTCACACTATTTAAAGTGTGCTTAGAGTGTGCTGACTGCTAGAAGATGAGGACTCTGGGAGAGTGAACAAACCCAGCTGCTGGTAGATGAAATATTGGAGAGAGAACTGGCAGATCTAAACTCTTTGTGTACAGCATAAGCCTCCTTTTCCGTAGGCGGTCTGTACTGTTTCTCATGAGGAATTCAGTCTGAACGAAAGCAGCCTGTGCAAAGGAAGAGATTAGGATGTTAAAATTATTTATTAGGATGGTTTTATAGCCACAAAGTAGGCATTTTCTTGCTGATACTCCAACATTTAGAATTTTATCTTTCCACCAAGTAGTTGGCAATATAATGTACTTTAAAACATTTTTGCCAGTAGTTAATTTTTTTTTTTTTTGTGAAACTAAATGTTTTCTATAAACTCTCTTAGGTGGAGTGGCAGCCACATTAGATGGGGACAGCCATTCAGACTAAGACATATAACAACAGGAAAATATTTAAGTCTCCTGGATGACAAGAGTCTTCTTCTTACAGACAAAGAGAAGGCGGATGTAAAATCTACAGCATTCTGTTTTCGGTCTTCCAAGGTATGGAATCAGTGCAGCATTAGTATAACTACTGCTAATTCCAATCTCTCTGGAAAGCAACATTTAGATATTTTCTGTTGTAATTGCATTCATTATTGGAGCCTTCTACTTTTCACTGATTAAAAAAATCCAAAATTCAGTATAATCAATATCTAGAATGGTTCTTTTATGAGACTTTCTTTGTGTATTGCTGCCTATCTGCTTGTGGTCTGTTGGTTTTATTTGTTTGTTTGTTTGATTGGTTTTTTGGTTTTGTTTTGGGCTGCGAGTTTTGTGTGTGTTATTTTGTTATCTGGGTTTTTTTTGTCCTGCTCAACCACTTTTGAACAGCTTACTCAATTCCAATTTGTTTTTCTGATTAACTTCTCTGGTTCTTCATTGCTTAGATTTCTTGGCTGTCATAGGAAAGATTTGTAGTGCTGTGGGTTACTGAAATTAAATTGGAAATCCAGGATTTTTTTCAGCAGATACATTATTGTAGTCTAATCTGAAGTCTGTAGTTTGACTTTTCATTTTGACACCTTCAATAAGCATTTAAAGTTTAAAACAGCACCTTTTTGTAGTATAGTATTAAGTATAATAATAAAATAAATTCTTTTATATCCTTTGATTTCTCATACTTTTTACCTGTTGCGTGGTGTCTCTGAGAATTTTCCAACAATAGTTTTTCTGTTGTAAAAAATAATCTTCTAAAATAATAGTAAACAGAATTACTCAAAACTTTTCTGTAGCATTTATTATATATATATATATATATTTAATTAGTTGCCTTCTTTGGAAGATAAGAATACACTCCCAAAAGCAGGTATAGGGACTTCTGCACTCTGATAACAAAGACTGTATTTCAGGTGATTGTTGTGGCATGCAGAAAATGTATCTTTTTAAAACCAATTAGAAGAGTCATAGAAATGCTTAAATATTTTAAAGCAGTGCAGAGCAGCTATATTGGGGATTTTCTATTGCAGCTATTACAGATCTCAACACTTTAAAGCAAGAGGGATAGAATAATCCATTCAATGATTTTCAAGATGGGTTTTCAGCAGGGGTTATTCCAGAAAGAGTGGAACAATATACTGCACTCTACTGTTACATGTTTTATTTAGTCAAAAAAATACTTGAAGGCAAGAATTGTTAGCAATACAGAGTATCTTTTGTTGATATGGATAAAGTGGTTTGTCTCTTTTTTTCTGAGGAGCACATGCACATGTGTTTTGGAGATTAGGTAATGTTGTATTTGAAGTTTCTCCTTTTTATTTTTTTTTTTAATATTTTTTTTAGCCTGAATTTGCTTATTTGGAATTGTTTTGAGAATTTATATTTTGAAATGGTTTTGTTCTACCTCGCTCAAAATAAAACGTTCTATTTTGGTAATATTTTGGTATATAATATTTTGGTTAGCTGTTGTTAGTGGCCAAACTTATTCTATGCTGAGCAGAGCAGAGATAAAAGCCTTTGGGGAAGGTAGAAACATGTTATGGTAATCAATTCTTGAAAGAATGTGAGAGAATTTTCAGAGAGGTCTATAAGCTAATCAGCACATGAAAAATATAATCTTACTGATGCTTAAATATGGATTTTCAAAGCAATGGAAGTAAATGTTCAAATAAGAAGTAATGTTGTGGATGTCCCCATTCATTTTAACTAAAGACTTTGACAGGAATTACTGAGAGTCCACGGGGGGGAGTATATGGTTTGCACTTCATTGCTGAGGATGAATCCAGTCTGGATGCAATCCTGTGCAATGTGCTCTAGGATGACCCTGCTTGAGCAGTGAGGTTGGACCAGATGACACGCTGTGGTCCCTTCCAACATGACTGATTCTGTGATTCAGTCTCCTGCCTCGGACTTCTTAAAGGAGTGTTATGTTTCACTTCATTAGGATACAGGCATTAAAAACTTTCAGGTGCCTTCCTTCTCTGGAAAGGAGTGTTAAAGCTTTCAAAATTATAACAGTTCTAGAAAGGTTTCTGTAGAGAAGGTAAGCAGGTTTAGGGTCTCTTTGCCTTTGAGTATATATGAACAAATTATTCAATCTTTCCCTTGTGCTGTTAGGACACAAAAAATTATTCATGGATAAGAGGGAGTCCTTAACCTTTTTAACTGACTACAGAGCATTAATACCTGGGAGTGTTTCAAGCAACTAGATATTTCTTTTAGAAATTTCAGCCCTTTTTATTTTGCCACAGTCATAATTCTTCCTTCCACTACCTGAAAAGGAGAAGAAAAGTGAGAATTATGAAGATCCCACTTGTGCAGAGTAAGTTAGCTCTGAATAGGCAAAAACAAAAATAAGGGAGAAGAAAGTGAATAGATAATGACTTTAATTTCTAAATGAAAAGCAGCTTTTGTGTTTGCAGAGATAATATTGAAAATGTATCCCCTGTAAATCTGAAGATTCAGATGCAGATGTAAAGGCTTATAATTTATTATTGCTTTACCCTTATTATTCGCAAGGGCTCATTATCTTAAACACATTAGCTTCCCAGTACTGCATTTAAAAAATAACCCAGAAGGGAAATAGAAATCTGAAGCCTTTCAAGCATCTGAAATTAAGAAAATACTTTTTGTTTTTGCTCTTATGGTCTCACTTCACTCAGCACAGGATGTCCACAGATATCTGCAACTTATTCCCCCAAAACATAGGGCTCTTTTATAAACTTGAGTTTGTAGTGATCAAGTTTTGAGGATTTTTCTCTCTTCTATTTGCTCAATATTGATTCATTTTAATAGAAAGCATTGGTTTAATATCACTTGCCCACTGAAATAAGGTAATTTTACCAATGTAGAAAGGTTTATATATTTTGTACCAAGTCTGCTTTTCCTGTCATGATCTTTTCCAGTGAATAGAAATACATCAATTTAAATAAAATTTTATGGTTTGTCTTTTTGTCTTGAGCTTTTTCTTAAAAAATTTCATAGAAAATATGTTAATGTCAGCTTTAAAAGCAGTCATTAATTAGCTTCTTGGAATCAGTGAGGTCTTTTAGAGTATCAGTTCTGACTAAAAGTATGCCACGGAAGTTATAGGTTGGGTTGGATGACAAGAGATAAATTTGAAAGCACAGGCCTTGATCGTGGGAATCCATTTTGTAATGTTAAAAGAAATTAAACAGAAACATTAGAGTGAAATAACTAACACATTTAAGGTGAGGCTTCATAAAATAATTTTTCAACAGTAAGATAAAACTATTTTAAATGATTTTGTTCATTTAACCCACAACAAAAGTGTGAAGATTGTTCATATGCAATACAAGCTATTTATAAAGAGCACATCCTTCTGGAGAAAATCTGGCATATTGTTCAATAAATCTGTTCATTTCCAGTTCACTCTTGTTGCTTTGCATTACTGAGGTGTTTTACAGACTGTTGCAAAACTCACTTGTTGATGTTTGCTTCAGTGTGATAAATGAAGATTTTTGATCCTTGTTTAGAAAAAGTATATGGTCTGAGAATGGGTCTGGACAACAATAAAACTTAGGGTTTTCTGTGTAAAAATGCAGTAGGAAGAATTAGCAGATGGTTAAGTAATGGCAGGTTACTTATGTGGTAAGAGTGTAGTGGGCTGGAAACTTGCATCATTTAATATCTATACCAATGTGCAATTACTAATTGGGGACATGGTGATTTCTGATGTTTTTCAGATCCTAATTTTCACTGATGAACAGTATTTTACAGTGGATGAGATTGATTTATTATATGTACTTTCTCAACTACCTACTCTTAATTGTCATGAAGCCAGCATTCCATTCAAATCTTTCCCTTTTTAAACAATTTGTGGTTCCTATTCACTTCCCCAAAAATCTCAGTGTCCCCAAATGAATGCTCTCATGCCTGCTACCCCAGACTATCCTCTAGTCTTCTGCTTCTCTCCTATACTTAGTCCATTTTTACACTGTGCTTTCCTGGCTACTCTTTTTTTTTTTTTTTTTTTGCAGGAAAGACATTATGGGATTAAATTCAATCTGGACTCTAAGCCTACACACAAAGCTGTTGGTGTATTTACATTGCTGAGAACAGAGATCTTGTTTGACAGATTGTTGGCACTGCAGTTTTAATGCTAAGGAAATTAATTGTCAATTCTGTGAAGATTTCAATATCAAAAAGAATCCAAATCCACAAAAAAAACCCCCAAAAACCTGGTTCCTGACAGTGAATTTTAAAGCATGGAATAATATTTTAAACAAATAATCCCTTATGTTATTTACAGTGCTTTATGAGAAAATTTTTGAATCCTTATATTTATACATTAAAAAACTAGTTGTGAGACTTGAAAAAGGAAAATCTTCCAATGTAAAAGTACAATACATTCACACAGGTTCATCCTATCTTGTAGTTATGAAAAGAATTTGAAGGACTGGAGCTTGAAATCAGGCTGTCTTTTTCTTCATACAATAGCGAGACCTAACTTATTTTATCCTGTATCATCATTTGTTTGCCATGTCATATTATAAGTAGCTTTTCAATTTCCAACTGTCATTACATTCAGGTTATTTGTGCTAGCTTTTGAAAGAATTGAATGCAACACTTAAGAGAAATGTTATGAACAAAATAATGAATTAATAGTGAAATAGAAGCACACAATAACTCTGTAATTGGCATCAGATTACTAATAAATCAGTTAGTATCATGTATCAATGGACAAGACTTTAATAAGAATTTCAACGCTTAAGGAATCAGCCATTTACATGGTAGTAAAATTAACATCTGTATCCAGAAACAATCAGAAAACAATCTGAATTGATGAATGTTTTGTATCTGAAAGCTTAATGTTATGAAAAGTAATCATAAGAATTTCACCTCAGTATTATTTTACTTCAAAATGCATTCATAATTGTAGGCTAAAAATCTGATTACAGGACATCTCTTTTTACTTAAGAAATGTTTTTAAAAACGCTTTAGTAAATTAGAGATCATTGTCTGTTTATTTAAAAAACCCAATCTTTGTCATCTTCTACTGTGAAGGTGCCTTCCCACGTTGCCAAGGCACATGTGTATGGTGTAATTATGCTTCTACTCTTTCTTGGTTGGTGGAAGAATAGAACAAATAGAAGTTTTTGTCTCACTATTTGTAACATTACTCTGATCAGCAGAAGGAAGATGCTTGTTGTCTACTGCTGTCAGGAGAAGCAGAGAATGTTGAAGCAGTATTTGCTTAAGAAGGGTCATGTTCCACACTGAATGTACAGTGGAATAGGCACATCAGTCAGTTGAACCATATGTTTTTGGAGAGATTAAATGGATGATCTGTTATGAAGCAAGATGCATAGGCTGTTTGTCTCATAAACTGATATCTGTGGGGAAAGAGTTGGTTCTTAGAAGAGCTAGGTATTGGGGGAGCACCTCCGATTACAGTCAAAAACTATAGTATTGTTTGGGATACTACATTTCCTCTCCTGAAGCAATTGCTGTCTGTATAGGACACCCGCTGCAGTGACATGAGGTCATGCCATTCTTAGTTTGCCGACTAGTCACAAACATGCAGAAATGGATTGCTTTTCTCAGGAAGTACTGAGCCTGTTGTTGGGCAGTGATAGGTTAAAGGCCATCTCTCAGTGACAGTTGGATGGTTCTCATCTTTTCCAGGCTGGAAAAAAACCCCCCAAATTCCCAAGAAAAAACTTCTGGAGGTTAATGCCTGATTCAACTAGGGGAGTCAACGTATTTGGGGCTGTTTTGTAAGCTTTTGTTTTTCAATAATGACATATACTCTCAGTTATGGTCCTAGTTCTATCTATGCAGGTGAAATTAATAAGCAAAGTTTTTATGTTGATGGGGTCTCTCTCTCTCTGTCTTTAACCAGCAGTTACATTTTCTCTTTTTTTTTTTTAATAATTCATTTAAAGAGGGATCTCAAATATTCTTTTAGGTCCTGATCTGGACAATTGCCTGGTATTTAATGTTTTATGCAAATATTAACATGTAGGTTATTGTTCATGTATACATTTTTGTCTTCTTCAGGAAAAGTTGGACATAGGGACAAGAAAAGAGGTGGATGGAATGGGAGCACCTGAAATAAAGTATGGGGATTCAATATGCTTCATACAACATGTGGATACAGGCCTATGGCTCACGTACCAGTCTGCTGATGCGAAGTCTGTAAGAATGGGTTCTTTGCAGCGAAAGGTAAGAATGTAAATAGGAATTGATTTCATTCAGTCATAGTCTCATAGGGTGGTGGGGTAGGAAATGAGGGGAACTACGTGAAACAACTGTTTCTGGTTTTAAGCATGCCTTAGCATGCTTACCATGTGAAAGGCTGGGTTTCTTTTCAGTCATATATTGAAAAGTTAAGTGATGTACTGAATTTTTAAACTGAAAGCCAAACAAAGTGCATGTGTCAACCTCTAGACATTAACCTACAAACATTGATAAATCTGGATATACTTGATTTCAAACTAAAATATCAGTAACAGCCTATAGAATGTGCTAAAATTCCTTTCTTCAGTGTAGTTTGGATTGAGGAGGCTTTTATTTCATAGTATTTCTTTCCACATTGTAAGTGTATTTATTACCTTTTGGTCTGGAATATTCAAGTCTTGAGCCCTGAGAGATTTCTTTTATAGAATAATAATAGCCAAGCAGAATGCTAGCTCAGCATCATAAAGTAGGAAAAATACTATTTTACAACTTAACACTGTAGTATTTTCCATGACTGTTTTACATACCAGAACTACAAAGCTGGAGCAAAGGACATACCTTGTAATTTTATATATAAAATTTGTCTGTATCATATGTGTGTATATACACATATATATTCTATAAAATTCTATAAAGGTAATATTTAGGAAACAGTTTCTGTACAGGTAAAATTTTAGTGATTATAATACTAAAAAAATTATCAGTCATAATAGTCGTAATACCTAAATAATTCTAAAATAATTTAAATAGGTTACCTTATTAAATATTTTAGTAAGCAAAACCCCTAAGATTTTTTTTTTAATACAGTATATTGTTTACAAAAGGTGTGGCTTTGAGATTATTATGTCACTGAACCTGCTGGCTTAGTAAACATGTGTCCTTGGACATGAGGAATTAAAACATGGAATTATCTGGTTTTAATAAAATAGTTGTTTTTGTATATGGCTACATAATTTCCTAGCCTCCCTTACTATGTGAGTTTTCAAACTTCTTATTTACAAATAATATTTCAGTTTGCAGTGACTGCTTCTTATTTTTGTTTTGCAGGCAATAATGCACCATGAAGGTCACATGGATGATGGTTTAACACTGTCCAGATCTCAGAATGAAGAATCCCGTACAGCACGTGTCATCCGTAGTACAGTCTTCCTTTTCAACAGGTTTATAAGGTATTCTTTTAAAATTATGCTTTCATCCATTTTCTTTTTTTTCCTCTTCTATTTTATTCAAAGGGGTCGTTCACACAGCAGTGAACAATTTAGCCTTCAGAACAAAGAGATGAATGCCTCAAAGCAGACTTTCTCACTTCTGTACGTGTTATCAGCAGATAAGGGCATTGAGAGATATTGGCCTGTTTCTTTCCTCTGTCTTCTAATATCAATTTATCATTAAATCTTGATTTAAATGCATAAACACACTGAAAATGCAAACAAATCATAAAAGAGAGATTTTTCCTTGCCAACATTTGCTTTAAGTCATATGGTAGATCATTTAGATTTTCCTTTTCTAAGTATAGTTTTTAAGAGTTATGTTCCTTGAAAAACCTGGAAGAAAGAGATAATTGTATAACTACAGATTTGTAAAAAACACAAATATACTGAAGGAATTCATAAAGTCAAGAAAAAGTTTTTCTTAAAAATTATACCTTTTTTTCTACCTTCACATTACACTTTGCTTTTTTGTTCCCTTTTAATGCTAATTTTTTCTTTAATATTTTGAAACATTGAAAAATGCTTTATTGTACATTAATTAGCCTTTTAAAAATCCTGTCAGCTTTATGCAATTTGCATTTATCTTCCTATTCCAAATGTCCTCCTAAATAACACTGATAAAATGCTAATTCTCAATTGCTTGTGATTTCAGTAATTGATGAAAGGCCCTTTCATCAGTGTAGCTTGTATTAGAAAAAGAACGACAAGCAGTAAGACTATATGGAATGATAAGAATTTCATAAGGATTCATTTGTGAAAAGAAAAAAACAGGTTGGGAGATGTTGACCTGAAGCAACTATGTCCTAAATCATTGCACAGCCAAAGACATACACATGACAATTTGTTGAAAAACATTTAACAAGGTACTTAAATAACAACAGAGAAAATCACCCATCAGGAGAATTGCCTCCTGTATGACATTTAAAATACAAGAGAAATGTAAGCCCTAGGTCACTTCTGAAATAATACCCCTTCTTAGAAGCTTCTAAGAATGCCATAAAAGATAAGGACAGAGGAAGGCAATTTAATGATAAGGTTTCACAAATCAAGGTATTGCTAAATTACAGTGGAGATTTTTGTGGAGTGCACAGGGAGTCCAAGGTAGTGTTTAACCGTTTAGTTTTGGCAGGTTGTTACTCCAAGAAGAAAAAGCTGAATTGGAGAGGATGAAAATTATTCTTCTAAGTGTTCTTTCCCACAAAGTCAGTGGAAAAATTGCACTTCAGATAACGTGCTCACAGTAAAAATTAAATTTTAAAGATAACTTTTGTAGCTATCATTTTGAAATATTGCATTTATTGTAAGATATTTAAAAAACAAAACCAACCAAACAAAAACACCAACCCAAATATCAAAACAACAAGCATATTACCCTCACCTCCACCCTGTCCCAAATATTTTATCTTAATCCAGCCAGAAGCAGAGTATGAAATGAGACTTGTGCTCCATATCATGGCCTGCAGATGAATTCTGGGAGCAAGCCAGGTGCTGTACAGCTCAGGAGAGAGGACTGCCAAAGACAGTTGTGGGTTAGGTTGCTGGGAACCTTTGGTGCCTTCAAGGAAAGAAAAGAGGGAGATGGGTATGGGGCTGAGTGGGTGGGTGTGGTGGGCTGCTCTACTCTGTTTATGCTGACCTAAAGACCACCAGTAAACACAAAACAGACGTCGTTGCTACATAACTGGGTTTTACTCAAAAATATGCTAGCAAAATAATTGTGTTACAATGGCAGAATGGAGAATAAGTAAAAAGAGAAATCACGTGTCAAATAATCCCACTCTTTTCTGCTGTGTGCTGCCACGGCGGACCCTTCCGCTCAGGGCTGCTCCTCTCCCAGCACTTCGAGCCCTGGCTGCCTCCTACAGAGCTTCAGGATCTCCAGACCTTTCCTTCCTCCTAGAGCTTGGGCATTATTTTCCCAAGCCCTCTGCACCCCAGTTTCTCTCCCCCTAATGGCTCCTCCTGCTCCTTGAAGAAGGTTCTTGAGGGCCTCCTGCAGCCTTTGCTGGGGCAGACCCCCTGCCCACCATCATCTTCCTGACAGATGTGCAAGGGAAAATTCTCACCTTTCACTTGCTGCATAGTGCTGCTGAGGTCTCAGCTGTGTTTCAGTAAAGATGAGGTTTAAATGGAGGAAGAAGTCATATCAGGGTTTGGAAAGCCCAACGCTGCGGGAAAATTGGATTATGGAGTTTGTTGGGGATTCAGCTCAGCAAGGGGCAGGTGCAACATGGTTGAGGACAGTCAGCTCTCCACTCCTAGGAGAAAATGGTCATAGACTACTTCAAGGCCAAGCATGAACTGGGTATTAAGTAAACAAAAAGGCTTATGAATTGGTGGGACGGAGTGTGCGAAAGTGCTGAATCTTCCACACTGAAGAAGGTTTAAGAACAGGTTAGAGATGTGTTTGAGAACCTCCATGGGCTATCTGGACCCTCTTCAGCACCACAGGACTGGTTTCTTTAACTTCTGTCCATTCCAGCTTCATGATGCTTTGTACAGATTTACAGTAACTTCTCTGTGTCTTTTTCTCTACCTCTGAAACTGCTACATGCATAGGTAGAATATTAAAGTATTTTCTAGATTTCAAAAAAATGTTAGAAGAACATTTTTGATGCTTTTAGGTTGTGTTTGGGAAGGGAGGGGTGGATTGTTAAGTAGAGGATGGGCAAACGTAATTTCTGAGAAGCTACTTGGCTGTCAGAAAATGATTCAAGCTTTGGCGTCTAAACAAACTTTGCTTTTAAATAAATAAAGAGTTCAAACAATAAATTAATTTTCAATATTCAGGAGACTTTGCATCTTTTTACAGGGGCCTTGACGCTCTCAGCAAGAAAGTAAAGTCTTCCACCATCGATTTGCCTATCGAGTCAGTCAGCCTGAGCCTTCAGGACTTGATTGGCTACTTTCACCCTCCTGATGAACATTTGGAGCATGAAAACAAACAAAATAGGCTCCGAGCACTGAAGAATCGCCAGAACCTCTTCCAAGAAGAGGTAATTCTTTCAGTTTTACTCCTGATTTTCCACTATGTTGCCTGCAAGTATCCTTTCACAATAACTGTAGTGTTGCTATCGAATGTGGAGTATGGTTGCATTGGTTTGTTATTGGTTTGGTTTTTTTTTTAATCCTGTAGGAGTCAAACTATTTGCTACATTTATAATATCTCTAGATGTGTTGATTTCCATGTTTATGTAAAGAAATTCATTTAAGGCCTGACTTTCTTTTCCTTTTTTTAAAAAAATTGAATATTAGTGCTCTGAATTCTAACCATAATTTTCTTCCTATGTGTGAATTAGTTTCTTTTGTTGCAGTTTGATCTCTTGATGCAGAAGGATGTTTTGGTTTAATAAGCATGCTTTAAGTATCTTGTTTAATATTATATGTTATTTCTTTGGCAGTGATAGTTGCCTATAATTTTTCAGATGCATAGATACCTTCCAGAATAGAAAATTGTCTAAAATTATATCTTTTTTGTTTTAATTTGACCATACTAAATGTTAGATTTTTATTGTCACAGGCAAGGAAAATTTTCCATAGGGATTGCTTGTTTGACTTCATGTACATATTCCTGTGTTTTGCAGATCCTATCCTTCATGTTGTCTTTTCTTAGATTTTTGAAATTTTTTTTTATTTGCACTGAAAAAATACTTTTTTTTTTTTTAGGGTATGATTAACCTTGTTCTTGAATGTATTGATCGCTTGAATGTATACAGCAGTGCAGCTCATTTTGCAGATGTAGCTGGGAAGGAAGCTGGAGAAGCATGGAAATCTATTCTGAACTCTTTGTATGAACTACTAGGTAAGACATAGAATGCGTTATTGTTTTAGCTCAAAATAATGAAGAATAAAGAAACACATACCTGTTTTATGAAAGAAGAATTTCCCCTGTGTAAAAATTTATGATATAAATTAAACAAGATTTTTGTATTTTCAGGTCCTTGCATGTGCTTAAGAATAACATACACTGGAAACACTTATATATTGTAAATTTTAGGATAATATTTGTCGTGAAAAATTACAAGTTTCTGAGTTAAATGATTGACTACTTTTCCATATCATCATATTACTTCTATATCTTGTGTACGATCCAAAAATGTGTGAACAAAATATATGTAAATACATCATTCCTATGTTAAGGAGCCATAACTTGGTTAGATTTGTAGAAGTCTATGATTTTTCACACATCTGCCTGCAGAACTGCAGGATATATCTAAAGCTTCTATACCCAAGAACCCTCTTATTAGTCAGCAATGACCAATGACTCCAGCATTATACCTGGATACAGTATGCCATGGAAAGGTATACTTATGTTAAATCTAGTCATTAAGTTCTTGTCCACCTGCAGTCACTGAAAATCTCCCAATACCTCCTCCAATTTTATTTGCATATGTTAGTTTTGTTCAATTATGAATCATTATATAGGGTTATTAATCCCCTGTAATAGCTACCTGTGTATTCACTCCTGCTGAGTTCCTTATTGTCTGCAAAAGGAAATTTTGCTGCCTAAGAGACTGTTTTGTCAGTTCTTTTCTCCTCTGTCAGTAAGGTTTCTTGTTGCCATAAGTAAGCCTAAACATAATAATAACATTGACCTTAAGTGACTGAGGACAGTAATGTGTCCCTGTCATTAAGCAGCTCTTTGTGCAGGCTGCTTGTATGTCCCTATTCTGCTTGCTTTCTGTAACACTCTAGCTCTAATGTGTGGTCTGCTTGCCTTTAAACTTGCACATGTCTTGTCAAAAGATCAAGTTTGGACAAAGTCCTCTTGCAGGATTGTTATCTTACTTTCCAGTGAAACATAAAAAATGTTTCCAGCAAAGCATTTTGTTTATCATTTATACTAAATCTCACTCCTAAAAAAATTATTATTGAGAAGATATACAAGAAATGTACTTTTAGCATAAATTCCATTTAAAACTCCACAACTGAATATGTAGTTTGTAAAATGAAGTGAATCAAGTCATTAGGAAGTGGCCAGGTGAATGTGGTGAGGATATTAGTAATTGGCTTTTTTGTAGGTATGCATTGTGAAACATGATCACATACTGTTTTTTCTATAGGACCCATTCCTTTATTAGGGCTCATTTATTACTAGGACTTAAAATACTTAGTTTTCTCTTTGCTACTTTGTGTGTGGCATTGAACCTAATTTTTTATGAGCCTTTTAATTCATGTTTGGAAAACAAAACTATTATCTTTATGTTCTTTTGTGCCATTTATGATTAGTAATACCAATAATTAGAATTATTAATTAGTGTCTGTTGGAAACTTTTATAATAAGGAAATCAAAGAAATTATCTCTCATTCAGTCAGAGAGAAATTTAGGTAAAAAGACTTTACCAATGATACTTCCCAAATTAGGAGCTGTGGGATCTAACCTTTTTTCAGAATATTCAGCAGTATTTCATGTGTGCAAGGCATACTGAAAACTTGCATTCCTCCAAATTCAGAGGCAGTAAATGAAATTTTAATTGCATGCTTCACTTCACATAAATTCTTCTTACTACCCTACAGCAAAGTGAGACAACAGAGGCAGGAGTTCACTATATAACATTGTCAAAAAGCTTTTCCATAATGGAAGTAGTTTTATCATCTTGTACTCTTGCAAAAGAAAATAATCTTAGGAGGGAGAAAGAGATATCCAGTATATGATGCATAACCCTTCCTGAAAGAAACAAGATGCTTCTGTCTGGTCCACTGCCTTTACTATTGGAGTAAATAGAAGTTGACACAGTGAATGGCATTGAGACAGTGGGAAGCCCTTTCCTGTGATCTCTTAGAGCAAAGAAAGAGCTAGCTGAACAGTGGCTGCTGTCCCCTAACTGCAGGCTGTTAGAGTAGAAGGTGGTTCCTCTAATTGTGTTTCTAGGTGAGAAGTTGCTGAGATCTACCAGCTCTATGTTGTTGATGATTGCAGCATAATGCATATGCACAGGCTGCAAGGGTGACCAAAAAAGTGTTTCCTAACATTGGATTGGTAGATTTTACAAACATGATGAGGTAATTTTTATGTTTTTAGTTTAGTTTTCATGGTCTTTATAGTTTGCAAGATAAATATATCCTTTATACACCTCTCTCTAATTGTGTAACTTGCAGCATAGTGAAAAGTCAGGGAAGTCAGCATAAAAGGCAAAAGCGGGACTGAAATATGAATACATCAGACTGGTTTGATTTCAGCTTAGAGTGATTTGTAACAATGGTACACTGTTGTCCTTTGTACTATAATTTTATATGAAGAACCTTTTCAGAAGTAGATGGGAGTTTTTGCAAATAGATTTATGATGCTTGATGATTAAGAGATTTTAAGACTTGACAACATGAATTATATTGTAGGTTCTTGAGAGGAGTGTCCAGATCCTTTTCCTCTGTTTTTTTTCTTCTCTTGTGTCTTATGTTTCTCAAACCGGTATAGGCCTTTCTAACATCTGTTTGCATGTTCCAGTAAAGATACTGGATTTCTCATCTTCTTTCAGAACTCTGGTACCTGCTGTAGAAAATGTTTCTTACTGTTTTCCCTCTATTTCAATAAAACAAAATAGAATCACAGAATGTGTAAGGTTGGAAGGGACCTCTGGTGGGGTCATCTGGTATAGTGTCCCTACTCAGGCATGGTGTTCCATTGCACAGGATTTCATTCAGACAGATTTTGAATATCTTCAGGGAGGGAGACATCACAACCTCCCTGGATAATCTGTTGTTCCAGTGCACAGTCACCAACACAGTAAAGTTCTTCCTCATGTTCAGGTGGAACTTCCTGTGCATCAGTTTCTGCCCATTGCCTCTCATCTTGTAGCTTGGCGCCACCAAGAAGAGCCTGTCTCCATCCTCTTGACACTCACCCTTCAAATACTTGTATGCACTGATGAGGCCCCCTCTCAATTTTCTCTTCTCCAGGCTAATTAGGCCCAACTGTATCAGTCTGAAGCATCTCTCTTATGAGGATTCATAAGAGAGATGCTTCAGTCCCTTAATGATCTTTGCAGCCCTCTACTAGACTCACTCAAGGAGCATGTAATGCACCCCAGGGTACCACTGGCCTTGGCCACCAGGGCACACTGTTGGCTCATGAACAGCTTGTTTTCCACCAGGACTCCAGGTCCTTCTCCACAGAGCTGCTTTCCAACAGGTCAGCCCCCAGCCTGTACTTGTTCAGTGAGTTATTTCTCCCCAGGTGAAGAACCCTGCTTTTGCCCTTGTTGAACTTCAGACAGTTCTGCTCTGCCCAATTCTCCAACCTGTCAAGGTCGTGCTGAAGGGCTGCACAGCCTTCTGGGGTGTTCACCCACTCCTCCCAACTTTGTGCCATCAGCAAACTTGCTAAGGAGGCATCATCCCCTCCATCCAAGTCATTGATGAACAAGGCAAACAACTCCAGGCCCAGCACTGAACCATGTGGGATACCACTAGTGACAGGAATCCAACTAGACCCCGTGCCTCTGATTATGACCCCCTGGGATCTGCCATTCTGACAGTTCTCAATCCACCTCACTGTCCACTCATTCAGTCCACATATCCTGGGTTTGCCCATGAAGATTTTGTGAGAGACAGTCTCAAAAGCCTTACTGAGGTCAAGGTAGACAATATCCACTGCTCTCTCCTCATCCATCCAGGTAGTTGTTTTATCAGAGAAGGCAATCAAGTTGGTCAGGCATGATTTACCTTTAGTAAATTGATGATGACTACTCCTGATTACATTCTCGTCGACCATGTGGATGGACATGGCCTTCAGAATGAGATGCTCCATTACCTTTCCAAGGGCTGCAGTGAGGCTGAGTGACTGGTAGTTTCCTGTGTCCTCCTTCTTGCTCTTTTTGAAGACCAAGATGGTGTTTGCTTTCTTAAAGTCCTCAGGCACCTTTCCTGATCACCATGACCTTTCAAAGATAATTGTGAGCAGCCTTGCTATGGTGTCCACCAGCTCCTTCAGCACTTATGGATGCATCATGTCAGGGTCTATACATTTGTGGATGTTAATTTTTCCTAGATGTTCTCTGAGCCGAATCTCCTTGATCAGAGGAAAGCTTCTTCCACCATTCATTTTCCCTGGTCTCCTGGGTCAGATTACTGAGGCCTGGTCTGGTCAGTGAAGACCAGTGCAAAGAAGACATTTAGTAAGTGCCTTCTCTGCATCCTTTGTCACAAGGGTCCCTGCTCCATTTAGTAGTAGAAAACCACATTTTCTCTGGTTTTCCTTTTGTTATTAATGTATTGGAAAGAAACCCTTCTTGCTCTCCTTGCTGTCCAGATTTAATTCCAGATTGCCCTTGGCTTTCCTCATCTCATTCGTATATACTCTGACAACTTCTCTGTATTCATTCTAAGTATCCTGTCCCTGTTTCCATCTCCTGTGTATTTCCTGCTTATGCTGAGTAATGACAGGAGTTCCTTGTTCATCCATATAGGTCTCTTGCCCCTTTGCTTGATTTGTTGCTCATCAGGATGCATTCTTGAGCCTGGAGGAAGTCATCTGTATATATCAGCCAGCTCCCTTGGACCCCTCTCCCTTGCAGGGCTCGTTCCCAGGGGATTCTTCCAAGAAGGTCCCTGAAGAGGCTTCTTCCAATAACCTCTCCTGAAGTCCACAGTTGCAATCTCACTTGCTCCCCCTACTTCATCCATGCAAAATACTGAACTCCATGATCTCATGGTCACTGTAGCCAAGCCTGTCCCAGCCTTCACATCTCTAACACGGCCTTCCCTGTTTGTTAGTATGAGGTGGAGCAACTATTTCTTATGGGATCCTCCCCCACCTGTGGCAGGAAGTTGCTGTCAATGCTTTCCAGGAACCCCCTAGATTGCTTGTGTCTTGCTGTGTTGTTCCTGATGTCAGAGTGGTTCAAGTTCTCCACAAGAACAAGGCCATGTGACAGTGAGGCTAATTTCAAGCTGTCTGTAGAAGGCTTCATACTTATACAGCTTTGTCTGTCTCCATGCTTGCAAGTAGCCAGATTATTCAGTCTGAATTCTTTGAAGGTAGCTCAACCATTGGCATTGTTTATACTAATGGTAGTTATATGCTTTATTAAGAATCAGTTAGAGAAGTTAAGGCAGGAATTATAAACATTTAAAAGTAGCCAGATTAGGGCCAGAGAGTTAATGTCTCCGTGAAGTCAACTGATGATCTTTTAGAGTGTAGGTGATGGAGTATAAAATTCTGTGGTTCAGTTATTCATGGATGTAGGGGTAGTTGAATTTTTTGTTACAGCTTAACTATCTCTTTTTAAATTTAAGCACAGAGCAGACTGGAGGAAGTAATGGCTTGATGTCTGAATCATTTCTTGAAGTTTGAAATTTCCAATTGGCAAGGCTAGCAAACTCCTGCTGAAAGAGTCTGCATGTCTTGTACCAAGTATTGTTTCTGTGGACTTGTAGTGAGAGGATTGCACAAGCTTTTGTTGACTTCCTGGTCTCTGTGTCCCTCCTGCCCTCTGATGTTACTTCACCAACTGCATTATCTTCTGGCAGCTAATGCTGAGGGAGCCTGGCTTTGATCTGGCTATAATGAATTTGTACATTGCTCTGCTCTGTATAATGCTGGAGCTGTACAGTAATTACATGGATGACAAATGGATATTGCTTTCTCAGTCTTGCTTCAGCAAACAGTACTTTGTTTTCTGAGTCTGTACATAAATAAAAGTAAACTGTGATGCCAGAATTCATGGCTTTTGTCATGTCATTGACATTGTGTTATATTTCATTATTATGAGAATGGAGGCATTTACTGACTTTGAGTTAAATGGATACTATGACAGAAAAATCATATAGTCTTAGAATGGTTTGGGTCACAAGGGACCTTAAAAGATCATCTAGTCCAGCCATCCTCATTGCATAAAGTTCCTTCCTTATATTCAATGTAAATCTACCATCTTTCAATTTGAAATGATTGGCATGTATCCACTAGAGCATCTGTACTTTCTCTGTCGCTAATACATGCATTCACCATGAACTTGTACTTAATCCTTTTGTGTCACAAAGGCATGCAGGAGTATATGGAACACTGTGATTTTAATGTCTGACTGGTTTTTATTTCTTTAAAACTGAATGCCGGTCTTGTTCAGAGTAGTAAACAATAACAAAAGCAACTATTAGATGTTATCTTTTGTTTTCAATTTTAAGAGTCTGCATGCCTCACTTAATGCACAGCTTCAACCAGTGAATGCTAACCTTTCACAAACTTCTGCTGAGCTGCATTTATGAAGCCATCTGTGTCTTATTAGTGCTAATGAAATTAAATTTAGTGATGTTGTGTTAAGCATTGAGCTGTTACTGCCTTCATTTTATGTTCCTACCTGAAGCACAGTGAAACTGTGTGGCTTGCTTATAAACAATAAAATACACTTTTAGAAACAGCTTTTCCTTAGTTCTAATCTGTGTGTTTTAACAAGATGCTCCCCCTTTCCAGTAACTGTGGTCATGGTAATTAATGGTGTAAGATTTCAGGGTACAGATTTTTTTTTTTTTTCAGTCATATAATACAGCAAGAGAAAGGTGTTTGCTTGTTTCTTTTGCTGTTAGGGTTTGTTTTCCCAAGTGGTCAGGTTTTTTATTGTTTGGTGTTTTTGTTTTGTTTTGTTTTTGTTTTGTTTTGTTTCTTTTGGGATTTTTTTGCCATGAAGCAAATGGATTGCAATCTCTTTTCTCATGGTATAGAACCGACAGTGCAGTGACTTGTTTGCAATTCCTCTTTGCAAAAAGTTTCATATTATATTTATGTCCTAAGTCTCTAAGTTTAACCTTTTATAAATAAAGCAGAATAAAAACACAGTTGCAATATAATATAGTGAATTTGTGCAGAAACAAAACATAGATTTCAAGAGGCCATTTCCTCTTACCAGGAGCAACAGTTTCTGCTGCTGAAATAACCATGAAAATTTCAGTTGGAAATAATTTGTTGTCAGAATTGGAAAAAAAACTTCAGCAGTGTGCACTCTTCCGCACACCAGATAGAAATGTCAGTGCCTCACACCTTTTTGGAGTAGAACAGATGCTTCTGATAGCTTGTGTGTATGCACATACCTGCAAATGCATATAATCCAGGACAGGTCTGGCTTGTGGGTGCCTGCAGTGGTCAGTGAGATTTAAGTTCAGTTATATCCACCAAATCAGTGTGTGCATTAATTCTACTTCTATTTTCATCTTAAAGCATGGGGGTGAAGCAGATTCAAAGCAGTTACTTCCTCCCTCCAACCCTGTCAAAAGTATGGCAAACAGTTCCTTGGACATCTATCATGTGTTAATTCCTATTATTCTTGTACTAAAGTATCAATAGAAAATAATTTACATTCAACACCTATGTTGTTGGCTTTAAAGTCTGCTTTTCCAATGCTTTCTGTCAGTACAAGAATACTGTTTTACAGAAACTTGCTTCTATAGTAGCAGCTGACTTCTGTGGTGTCAGTACTGGCTACTTCATGTAGAGCATTTTGCAGGGATTATTGAGATGATTGTAAAGCCAAAATAATTCAAATTCCTTAAAGATCAACTTGATGTCAAGAGTATTTATGCTTAATTCTAACTATCACTTACATTATTTAAATTTAAATCAAGAACATCAATAATTAAAGATTATGAATCTATCTTACTGGGTCCTTCCTGACAAGACAGGAATTATTTAAATTTAAATGGATTAATAATTTTGATTTTTTTTTTCCTCTCTCTCTCCAATAGCGGCTCTGATTCGAGGAAATCGTAAAAACTGTGCTCAATTTTCTGGGTCTCTGGATTGGTTGATCAGCAGATTAGAAAGACTGGAAGCCTCTTCTGGTATGTTTTTTAGTATTTTAACTTTCCTATTTGACCAGTTCTAAATTCTTTAATATTGGTGATGTACTTGTTCAGCCTAATTAGAATGAAGTTCTTGTTATGAGAGAATAAATTATGTTAATAAAAGGAGATTTATATTTGTAATATTTTTTACATATTGATTTCAGTTGTAGCTTTACTTAAAATTCTGACAGTATTGCCTTTTCCTTGACCAATTGGTTGTAGTGTTACCTTTTAATTCAGGCAAACAAAGCATTTGACAAAATAGCTGTTCTACAGTTTAAGTAATATTAAATTGCTTTTTCTCTAATTGTAGTATCTACCCTTCTCTTTGGAAGTCTGCATGTTTTTCATGTTTTGTATCAAATTAAACATAGCAATAGCTGTATGAAAAGGATATAATTTGTCACTTCTTGAAGGACTGTAGTGGTGATGTAGGGAAGTTCACGTATTCACTTGAGTATGTGTAAGAATAGATGGGTCTTCACAAAATACCCGTGTGTTTCCAAGGAACAGTGTTACCTATGTAATACACATACAGTCCCTTTTTAATCACCTCTCTCACTCTTGAGCTCTGAATTTCTATTAAAAATTAACAAGAAATGTTTTTCAGTTGCAGTTGAGACTGTTTTCTTTATATATAATATTTTTTACTATTTTATTTGAAGATGGCCTTTTGAGAGTCTTTCAAGTCTTATTTCTTCTAATTATTATACAGTAAGTTCAAAAGGCAGGAAGGTTTGTAGATAGACCAGTGGCAAGATAGTGCATCACACCTCTTTGGTTGCATATTTGTAATTTATTCCCATCATTGTCTTGGTTTAGTGTCATGTGTTGTTCCATGAACTGGAAGGAACATAATGATTGATTACAGACTTGTCCTCAGGAATTTAAATTGCATTCCCCATTCTTTTCCCATTCCTGAATCATGCTTCTTCCACAGATAAGTGTGTACTTAATAGTTGAAATGTTAAGGGAGGCATGCCAGGAAGGGAATATGTCCCCCATTGCAAAAGTTCTTTGTTTTATATTAGATTGGTAAACATTTGAAAAGAAATGTCATAGGCAAAACATAGTTGTTCTTATCAGCCTTTTACTGTGGCATTAATACATGAGAAATATCTTGTTATTGCTGAGTATTCTAAGTAAAAATAGGAGTTGTCCCAGTGTGGATCACTATTTGGCATATATTAACAAATTTCTTACCTCAGTGTAGCATTCAGTGGATCAGTAGCAGCCGTGAGAACAGATGGGTCCTATAGTAAACAAGGCGTTTCTGTTCTACTCAGCTTTGTCATTAAATATTCATGGGCATTTTGTTTATTGGCCACAAATCTGTTCCTGAGATGACCTGACCAACAGCATGGGAAAATATTGTCAAATGTCAGTGGCAGAAGTGTTTTGCCTCTCCAAACCAAGGCATTGCATTTGCTAGTTGATTGGCAAATACTGCAGTGGGTGATTGTAGTTGTCAAGAGCAGTTACACACTGATTCTTCACCTCTAGGAGGTTTTTTCCATTGTCAACTCTTGGAACAAGCAGAGAGTTTAGACGTCAGTTAGTCTTCTCTTGGGATGGAGACTGGTGTAGAGACTTCGAAACATTTGCCCACATGAACCCCTCCAGTCAGCAATGTTTCATAGAAGTACTTTTGCAGAATTTTGTTTCAGGTTTTAGTTGTAGAACTTTAGTTTAGCCTTAGAGTGGTGGATCTATTTTATTATGAGATTAGTTCCTACTTCTGGCATGCAGCCAATCTGTTTCAGCCTGGTATGTTTATGCTCTGAACTGTTGAGCTGCTTAGGAGATGAAGCAACAGGAACATAGGAGGCTTTACCTGTATCACTACTTTAGTTCTTAGCTGGTGACACAGACAGCTCATAGCACCAGTGTCCTAACCAAATAGATGTAACTGAACATTCATATGGGTTTACATCATTGTTAGGGAAACCTGCTCTGCAGATGCTGTGATCTTCTTGCTTTAATGAGCATTTGAGTAACAGAGAATTTAAACTGAAGCAAACCTTTAAAAACTGTCAGAATCACAAGCTAGATCCTTTTTCCACTACAGTCCACCTTTGGTGTGAGAGCATTCATCTAAGGAGAATGGGCTCACAATTATGCAGTTGCATGGGACTTGCTTGTAACCTGCTTAGTTTTGATGTACTTCCCAAGTTCCATCTGAAACTCTCAGAAATAATGCAAAACTTTGTGCTCAACTTTTGGAGGTTCAAGATGAAATATCTTATGACAGCTCTAAAAATGCTGTGTTACATGGTTTCTGTATGCATGTATGTATTTTTAAATATTAATCTCAAAGTAAAAAAAGTTTGCAAATTAAAAATTAATTGTTTATAATGCTGCAGTAAGGTATGAGATGCTTTCTGTAAACTGCAGAGTAATCTGACACTGTATTCTCACTATGTAATGAACCTCATGCTGCAAAAACTCTGAAGGTACTAATATTTGCAATGCTCATTTGTTCTGAGTTTTTTCTAGGAACTAGGCCACTTGAGCTCCTTTCCCATATGTTCTGGTAGCATAACTCCATGTTGCCTCCAGAACTGATTTTATAATAAAGACTTTTTCTGGTTTTGAAAGAGTCAGTTATAAAAGATGCTAACTAGGCTGTACTTTAATTATCTCAAGAGGCACAGTAGATTTAGATTTTAGCATATACATGTAATTTTGTGATTTTATGTGGGATGCTTGCTTGGCAGATTTTAAAGTTTGTCTTGACCAGGATGCAGAAATTCACTGTTTTAATTTACAGTGGTAGGTCTACAATAGGGATACTGGCTTATATTGGACTTCTAAAATAAGAATACTTGGATGTGTATATTCACTTAAAATAATTAATATTTTTCTAAGGTAGAGTGTTTATGAGGAAGAAACACCATGTTCTGTTAATCACACCAAAATTAAGCTCACCTTCAATATGGAAATCGTCAGCTACATCTCCTGCAGGTGTTTTCTTGAATGTGTTGTGATAAAGTTTTGGTGCTACAAACTAATATCTGTAAAATTCCTATTTTCACTTTTTTCTTGTCCTTGAGCTAAAAATGTTATGAAAACAGAACAAAGGCTTTAAATATATAAATAGCAACTGTGAATTGATTGTACAAATTAGATCAGAAATTGATTCAGTTCTTGAGTTTCACTGAAGCAAAAGAAAGAAAATTATGTTCTGTCCAAGTATAAATGTGTCCAAGAGTAAACCACCTTAGAAGTGGGTGAATAATGTAATGCAAATGCTTCAACTGTCTCTTCAATGCATAAATTAAGATTAGATTAGTCTTTCTCTCTGAAATATATTCCAGATGGTATTAACTAGCCCTACTAAAGTTTTAAAGGCATTAAAACGTAGGTAAAAACCCCCAAAAGAATATGGCAACTTAGTAATCTAATGCTGAGGAATACATTCAGTGCACTTAGCTTGATTTGCAAGCTGCGGTGTGAGCTGTAGGTTGATCTCTAGGGGGGTAGGAGACCAAACTCCAGGGAAGAGGCTGTGAACTGCTGACCTTTTCTCTAACAAAGGGTGTGGGGATCTGTAGCCCACATAGGGGACTGCACTCTCAGACACACAGCAGGAGGCGAGACCCCCAGACTTTTGTGCACTTAGATTGTGAGGGTATGAAAGCTCAGGGGTTCCTTTGTTTGAGTTCCCTCCCTGGTAGTACCCAGCTTGAACTGCTATTTTGTTACTTAGTTATTGCACTAAGATAAAATTTATTTCAAAGCTTGGGATGTCTGAGGCTCTGCTATGTGAAACTTGGGGTCAACCTGGCCTGACTAGGTTAGTGTGGGGTGTGTATCTGCGGAGGTCTGAACTCAGGTGGTGCCAAAGTGGCTCCTGGGTGGTCAGACAGGGAGGATTCCTTTACACTGGTATCCTCCAAGTAAAGTTTTTTGAAACCAGCTAATATCAGGTTTTGAGTATTTTCATAAAGCACATGCATTTTATTCTAGTATTCTACAGTATGACATCAGAGGAGTCAACATGTTGTCCTGAAAATATATGCCTCCTCCTTTCCTCTTTTAGTCATTAAGAAAGAATTTTCACTCTTCTTATCATAAACTCTGCATATCATACTGTTTGTGATATTTATATTAAATTCAAACTCTTCCTGTTTTACTACCTTGAGCAACTCCAGTGAAATCAGAACAAGTCCAGTTGTCTTAAATGTAGACAACCTAAAAGTGAACCAGTCTGAACCAACACAGTACATTCATATGCAATTTTTTTTCTGAAACAGATGGAATTTGCCCTTAGAACAAAACATGTTTGATAATTAGCAATCAGATGCTCCAGTTATTAAAGAAGGTGCTGTGACAACTAGATCTAATTGATAACTTGCATCTATTATTGAATGTTGTCATGGTCTGATTCGGCTCCTGCCTCTGCTGGCAGTCTGCCTGCATTCTCTACCAAAAATGTCGTGGGTTTACTCTGGGCCAATTTTCTCTCACCCCCCACACAATTGCTATAAGTTGAGAGAAGGTTTATACAGATAAAAGGGATCTGATGTGGGGAGAATAATATTAAGATTTATTACTAGTAAGATAAAAACTAAAGAACTATATATATAACAATTCTAACTGGGCAAAAGTGCTATGCATTTACAGAAATACCCCTCCCCCCTTGTATCAGTTCCAGAGGAGAAGCAGTCTCTTTTCTGTTTTCAGGTCTTCTAAATAATTTTGCAGCACTTTGAAAGTTTCTCTTCTGTTATCTTTAGAATGACAGCTCTGATTTGTCACAGCTGGAACTGTCTTTCTCTCTCTCTCTCTCTCTCTCTTGTATGTCGACCTCAGGGCCGGGCTTACCCCCTCCTGTGCTAAGACTGGAGGCTGGGGGGTTACCCAGGCCCATGGGGTCCTCCATGGACTGCAAGGAGACACTCGCCATACCATGGTCTTCACCACAGGTCACAGAGAATAATGGCTTTGAGAGACAGTCCTTGATGGACCTCTCTGGCGTGAGTCCACCTTCGGGAAACAGTTCTTCCATTCTCTGCTGTCCCTTAGGGTCACAAATTCAGCTGCACCAGCATAGATCCTTCACTGGGGTCATACATCCTACCCAAGCCGACTTGCTCCAGGGTAGGTCTCTCTCTCCATGGGCCACAGGTCTCCAACAGGACTGCATTTCATCTTAGGCCTCCCACAGAGTCACATCTTCTTCATGCACTCCTCTACTTTGGCATGGGCTCCTTCATGAGCTGCAGAGGGTCTCCACTCCCCAACAGTCTTCCAAAGGTGGCAGGGGTTTTTAGTTTTAAGTCTTTTTCCCTGGTGAAGGGAGAGAAAGAGAGAGACAGGGGAAAAGGAGCCCCCACTTCTCTCTCCTCTGGCTGCCTGCGTTGACCGTGGAGGCTGTGTTATGTCTGTCTGCCTGGAATTCCTTCTGCAGTATTTCTCGTCCAGGCAGTCTTCCTTTAGAATTTTTCCTCCACTCTGTTACATGCCTCGGTCAGAGTGGCTTCAGTGCCACACTTGCCCCCGTCCTAGGGAGAAGGGAGGAGGGAGGCCTGGCCCACACTTGGGGCCTACCTCTGCCTACATGGTTCCTAATTTCATCTGCGCAACCACCCTTCCCTTCCATTTTCTTAAATATGTAATTGGCAGAGGCATTACTAAAACTTTTGATTTGCTTTGCTCCAGAAATTCACCTGGAAAAACTATTTTCAGCCCAGGGGGGCTGGTTGGCAAACCCACGACAACTGTTTCCATCTTCAAAGTATTTTTTTTCTTATGTTATTGAAAAGGTTAAGACTAGAAAATGAACTCTGTATAATATCTTAAAACAAAATTAAGATTATGACTCTACCTACATAAATCTGAAAAGGTTATGGTTACCACGCTTAGATTATATGGTATCATTTCATATTGGATTAGTGTTTATATTGTTAAAATTGTTTCAGTGCTACATGAGATGACAAACTCAACTACCAAGTTTTGAATGTAGTGATTTTCCTACTGTAGCAGTTATTAATATAATAAATAAATTAGTTCCATAGGGACCATGGTGAACACCAGTATGGTGAGTAACGAGTGTGTCTTTATTCAAACAGTCACAGCTTAAATAGTAGCTTCAAATACTACTAGGTCACACAGGTAACTTCCTAAGCCAATCCCATACAAGCATTCCAGAGAGCATGTGTGACAGAGTGTCTTAGAACTACAATTCCCAGAATCCCTCTGCAGCACCTGGTATAGCCACACCCCACATCCTACATTCCAAGGTCACTGTGGCACACAATAAAGTTGTTCATCTTGTTTACGCCTCTAGATTAAGGATACTTTTTTAACGCTTTTTTGACCTCCCTAGGTAGTTTTACAATGGTCATAGTGACTCCTACCTATATAGTTGACAGGCTGGTTGGACTGTGCTTCTGCTATGTTGCTACAGAGCATCTGCTCCTCTAGCTTACTCTCATGACTCTTCGGTTTTTACCCTTTTTAACCATTTTGTTACTGTCAGTATTTATAGAACCATATGAATATGGAATACATTCATATGTGCATGAATGGTGGGATAATGGAAGTGTACATCTATTGTAGCCCAGATTATATCAGTGCCAAATTCAGGTTTAGTATGTTCTCTAATTTGTAGTTGAGACTTCTTATACCTTCAGGGCAACAGAATCACTCTGGGAATTCACCTCTAGCTCATTATATTATAGCTGAGACTTTTTTTGGCGCCACTGCACAGAACAAGGAAAGTGTCTACAATATCTGTACTGAGTCACCTGTATTGTCTGTTTACATATTGTATGACTCTGTCTTCAAATATATTAAACCACACACTTTGTTTGAAACCTGTTTACCAGATAAACTGAATTGTCATTGTATCTGTTGTCTTCTACCTTTGCTACTTTTCAGTCATTGAGTATTCCATACACTATTGTAGTGATGACAGCATATCATCCTCTAGATTTCTGGAAAAACCTTTAAATAGTATGGGGATAAAAGGTGATGGTGCTGTAGGTTATCTGTAGTGGCTGCTGTTCTTTTCCTCGCTAGGACCAAAGAAAGACCAGAGTCCTCTTACTGAGATGTTTTTGTCTGATGGTTGTATTTTTCTCACGTCAAGCGGAGTTTATGCTGCTACATTTTTCTTTAATTAAAGGGAAAAACAGACAAAGAGCAGAAGACTCTTGCTATGGATCTTGCTTTGCAAAGGTTAAGCTGAGTGTTTGGAGCCATGGCTTGAATACAGGGCTGAAGGCAGAATGATGATCTGTTCAGTGTGAATAGGAATTGCATATCTCTACATTTAAGACTGATTCTCAGCTTCCCTTCAGTCCCTTTGATTTTTCTCATTGTGGCAACAACTGTAGCAATGAATAATGATAAACTACATGTACAATATTTATCTTTCCCAAATACGGAAGATCCCAAATCAGGTGTTGACTTGATCCACTGCACATAGGAGTTTTACCTCCCCATTGCAGAGAAACATTTTAAGGCTCATGATTCTTGATGGCAATGACTGCTACTGTATTGTGTTTGTTTATCATATACAATGATTTTTGAAACTATTCCATGTTACTGAGCAGCATATTAAAAAACATTGTGCACAGTTATGTTTTTGTATGCACTTTGGATTTTTTTTTTTTTTCCCCCCAGGAATTTTGGAGGTTTTACACTGTGTGTTGGTGGAAAGCCCAGAAGCTCTAAACATTATTAAGGAAGGGCATATTAAGTCAATCATCTGTCTTTTGGACAAACATGGAAGAAACCATAAGGTAGGCAAAGAATAGACAGGTATTTTAGGTGAACATTTGTGAACAAAGCAAGCATGTTCTTACAAGTGAAAGTCAGAATTCCAATACTGTGATGCTGTTTTCATAATCAGGAATGAAACTTTTCCTAAAATGCATGTGAGCAGTTTGAAAAAGCAAAGGGGAATGTTATCTTTTTTTTGACTAAAACGTTGATACACACTAATTCTTAAGGGAAACTGGAGGAATGCTTTAATGTTGTAAGGAAAATTTCAGAACTGTTCTAAAATGAAACCACTATGTTGGATGTATTAGATACCATCACATCTTCCAATAACACAGTATATAGCATTATCTTGCCTGAAGTAACTAACAATAATAATGAAAAAAAATGTAAGAATAAAAGAATCTGATTTTTTTCAGGTTTTGGATGTTTTGTGTTCTCTCTGTGTTTGTCATGGAGTAGCTGTGCGGTCTAATCAACATCTAATCTGTGATAATCTCCTGCCAGGAAGAGATCTGCTCTTACAGACACGCCTCGTCAACCATGTGAGCAGGTATGAAAAAAAAAAAAAAGATTGTTATCCAGATCTAGCTGTGCATTCAGCATATTGTCCACCGATGTCCTGTGATTGCTTTTCTGTTTGTGATCTTGTGAGAATTTCCTAATCATCTTTGGTCAAAATTAAGAACTTAGTGCCAAATACCTTCACCAGTGCTTGGGATATTTCAACAGTGCCTTGATCATTCCTTCCACTGGAAGAATTTTAGAAACTATCCTGCAGCAGGCATTAATTTATA